GCTGCACCGAGATTTTCTGGGAGGGCAGAGGCCTCCAAAATCGCTCCCTACCCTTGGAATCCGCGATTTCGCCGACCTCTTCACTTTCGCGTACTGGGCGGATCGAGGGCAATAGCGGTAAGCGAGGGCCACACGAGGTGGCCCCCCAATTTTGTATAGACGAAGCGGGAGCCGGAAGGGCTATTTTAATACATAGAGGGTACAAATAGAGTAAGAAAAATAAAGAGAGAACTAAAGATACGAGGGAGAGGAGGGAGGGCGCGCGAAAATGAGGATTCACGCTAGAATCCTGCGCTGTGAGTGCTGACTACTACGGCAAACGAGGTCCAACTCACATAAGTTTCCAAGCAAAATGTTTTCGTAACAACTAACAGCTGGGGATGGCTTGGAAACTGAGCGCGAGATGTCAGACCTGTCAGCAATGATAGATAAGAGACATCCTGAGTAGCTTACTTTCAGAGTAGTATAAGAACTATAAATATGAATAACAATAAGATGGACTACTCTGAAAGTGCATCAGCAAAAAGCTGGAGTGAGAGAGCGACGGGGGCGCTCACCGCTGCGACCGATGATGAGAGGTACTAGCAGCAATAGAGTTGAAACCTCGGCTCTCGATCCGCCAGCACAGCCTCCGCCCAAATAAGGGCACCATGCAACGGAAAGCCTTTGGTTTCGTGGGACGACGACGCAGAGGGCCGTAAATGATGAGATGGCATACAGAAAGGATGCCTGAGTGCAAGGAAAGGACTGAGGCTGCACCGAGATTTTCTGGGAGGGCAGAGGCCTCCAAAATCGCTCCCTACCCTCGGAATCCGCGATTTCGCCGAGTATTTTGCCCTGCATTGGTAATATGACACAGTGGTGACTGTGACATCCTGAGGTCGCAAGTTCGAGCCTTGCAGAGGGCATCCAGGTCTTTGAAGTTGTTTTTTAGCAATCTCAAGCATCATTCTGTTTAAAAATGTGTCGCAAAGGGGTAAGAGGAGGTGCGCATTTCTCTATAACTGCTACTGTCACTGAGCACCTGTTTTTCTTATCCCTATCATTACCATAGAGTCTAATGTCTAGAAGGGTCGTTTACTCCATTGTGTTAGTTTTCAGGCTTTTTGTTTGCAATGGCATTTGCGACCTTGACGTCCGAAGTCAACCATATATTACACAGACCATTGATGCGACCCTTCGCTTTGGGCTTACTTCCACATCCTTCCGATTCCTTCATAATCCGACTTTTTCTGACGGGGCCCTAGTACTTAATTTCTCCCTGACTTGATGTCTATGCTTTTTCGCTTTACTGGCGGCGCGCAGCTGTCAGTTATACTCCTATCTTCGTACTCCATTCGGCCTACGCCACAGACAACGCCTTCTTGGCTCAGTTGGCTAGAGCGCAGGTCTCATATTTCTAATATGACGCAGTCGTGACTGTGACATCCTGAGGTCGCAAGTTCGAGCCTTGCAGAGGGCATTCATTTTATTGACATCTTTTTTTTTCGCAGAATCTGTGTTTTTTCGGTCTATATACCATCGAGTTCAGGTGGAGGCCATATCAAGATATATTTCGCATGGGAATCATGTAGATATTATTGTATCTTCTGCAGATCTTCACGTGTAGGGTGGTGCCTATCTGCCAGAACAAACATAACTATCTCTTCTTTCCATTCTGCTCAAAAACTTTTGTTTTCTGAAAATCTTCAGGCTGTAGGATAGATGTCAGACAAATTGTCAGGACAAATACGTCACTCCAAATTAGACATTGCTTTCAATGACCACATGGACTTATTTCGAGCAAGAACCCCGCAAGTTGCTGCATCTAATGTTGCGCGCCGATGCGCATGCGATGCCGCTGCTTTTATATTCTTGTAAATAAATTCCTCGGTGCCTAGAAATATATGCCAGAAATTAGAATTTTTTTAAAATTTTTACGATCTCGGCAGATTCCGGGAAGATCAACTGGAGATCAGGCACTTCGTTCAACCTTGAATGCAGTCTGCCAGCCAAGCCATATCTAATGGGACAAGTTTTCCAGTACGACATCCGCACTTTCTCCTGGGATTTTAGGTGTCATCAACTCCCATGTTTTCATGCGATTTACCCACATGTTGACCGACAGTAGGACCCACAAATGTCAAACAAAGCTTATCGTGACATATCGAAATCGAAAGATTCGTCATAAGCTATAGTGCTGCACGGCCGGCTGTTGTACTTTAGTGCAGCAACATATATCGGATCTCCTAGGTCATGACGCCACTCCTCGTTTAGCGATCTATGCGAAAATGAACTTGACCTTTTTCTCTATTGCGGCAGATTGCGGCCGACGCTCTCGGTGTGTCTACAATCCTCCGACAGAAATTCCGGCAGCGTTCGATCAGTAAACTACAGCCGCCATATGCCTCCCTTTCCGTTCTTAGCCAAGCTCCACGTCCAAATATTATAGCCGTTCAAAGCTCTGCGGATCTGATGACTCCTGACATCGGATTCACGCCTTCTTTTTGACAATATGGCGCCCTGAAGAACATATGCACGGGATAATTACACTACTATAATACTGCAGGAGGTTTGGGACCCACGATCGACCGTTCCCCCTTCCCCCTCTTTTTATCCACACCGTCGCGTCCCAGACATCTCAAAATGTCCGCCATTCCTTTGGACAGTAAGCTGGGCGCCGCGTTTCTGGGTAACCTTCTCGCGGGCATGTCAGTCTTTGTTCTAGTTCACGCCCCCAATCAAACGCTTACGCATGTCTAGCTTCTATGGAATTACCTGCGTCCAAACCTACTTGTATTCTAGACGGTCCAGGAAGGACGGGCCATGGTTTAGAGCAACAGTGCGTGTTACTTTCCTTCATCCGTGTCAATGTACTCATTGATTTCCTGTAGATCTTCTTCCTCTGGTTAGTTCGCGACGCGCGTCTCCTCTCCCATCGTGTCATTTCCTTACCCATTACCTCTTAGGGTGCTGGATACCGCGCAGCTAGCATTCGTCACCCACGGATTATACTATTACATGGTTTCAAACTTTGGTAATCTCTTGGCCCTCCTAGATCCCACATGGTATGCCGTATTTACCCACTTGGAATTGAACACGTACTCATGGGACATTCCACGAGACAGGAGTCTGCTCGTATGTTCCCTTCTCCAGGTTGCACTGACAACAGCCCCTAACAAAGTCCTCTTCATTGCAACAGGCACAGATCTATGTCACGGTATGATTTCATCGTTCCTTATCTCTCAGGCAGCAAACTCACATAACTTGGCATCGATAGTGTGTCAGCGATCTTGTCGTCCGATGGTACGTGCATTCTACATGTTGTTGCCATCGTTGCTAACCGGACGTCCAGCATTTTTGGTCGTCGCGTCTGGCTGAGTACGAACTACCCATCCTTTGGGTGCTTAAATCTGACATGTTTTTCACGTCAACAGTGACAAAAAGCTACATCATCGCTGGCCTCATCGTAAGCATCCATTTAATCAGATATCGCATAGCGTTAACTGATAATTTTCTTCCAGGCTACTACCTCCATACTCACATTCGGTATGTATGAAAATACGCGCCATAAGAGGATCCTTTTGCTAATGAGATCATATTCGGTGGTCAGTTACTGGCTTTGGTGAGCGCAAATCGTTTTTTACAGAAGTTTCATCGTCTCACCATGAACCTTTCAGCATTCGCATCGCGAGCGTTAGTAGCGCTTTCCTCAGAAGATAAAGTCTCCATCTAATAAAAAAAATACAGATACCAAGTCAAGACATTTGCAAACTTCTCCAAAATATCGGTAAGGCGATTCGTTCTGCTCATGATAGTGCGCGTACTGACGCTATGTATTCTAGTATTTCCTATATATTGCACTCGGAAGTGGTGTCGTGGTCGACCTCGTAATTGCCGGCACCCTCTGCTATAATCTAAGTCAGCGTCGCACCGGATTCAAAAAGTGTGATATCATCGCAAAGGATATTCGCATTTACTGACTTTCGTTCGTAGGACCGATTCGTTGGTCACAATGCTTATCGTGTACTCTATTAACACAAGTTAGTGCATCATGGTACTCGATAAGGGACTTTTTTTTACTGACTATTCTGTTCTATAGGTCTTCTAACGACGTGAGTTACCAACGGGTATGTCAAAACGTTATAACCTAACACAAATGACAGGATCTGCTCTACGGCTTGCTTCATCACATATGCGATCTGGCCAGACGAGTTCACCTTCATGGGTTTCTACTTTGTACTCAGCAAGCGTATGCAACTTTCATACCTCCGCTTCTCGGTTTTATCTGACTGTGGCGCGTATATAGTCTTCTTTAACAGTCTGCTCGCAACCCTCAACAGTCGCGACAAACTCGCTGAAACTCTGGGCGGAATATCCAACGTCTCTGGACTCTCGCACCTCGACAACTCGGATCATTCTAACTTCAAAACAACAGCGGCCAGAAACGGACCTGTGAGTATTCAATCTACCGACTGTGGGCCCTCGTGCCCATCCTTCCAGATTTCTGATCACCATCGCTTACCCTCCACACACAGTCCGTCGTTGTCAGCATCAACCGCGAAACTGTAGAAGACTACGAAATGGGCAGTCGAAAATCATTAGGATACCTGGGTCATGCCAGTTAAATAAAGCTAGACGCTACACACTCATTTGTTATGTATACATATTTAACATGTACAATTGCATAGGACACTTCGAGGAATTATACTAGGGGCTAGGACCCACATTATAATGTATTCTTAGAGAGGTCGAAGACTTCTTGAAGTTCTAGATGATCGTCGTCGTCTCTTCCTTGCGTTGTGGGGCACCGGGGCCAGTGGTTTCCTTGCGCCAGCCACAGCCGAGAATTTACCATTCACATGTCTAGACCCCACAGATCTAGGCGCCCATTTTTAAAATCCTTCTTTTATTTTCATCAGAATATTTGACGCCGCAGCACTCTGGTCGCAAAGACGTCGGCTGGATGGATCGTAAGGGACGATGTGCCCCAGCGTCCTGCGCATGGCTTATGTGTCAGTAACTGTCAAGTAAATGTAGGTAAGTAGCAACCTCGGTGTGCCCTGGGCCTTGCTGCAATTGCAACCAGGTTGCAATCTTGCATGTGTTTAATTATAACAGACAGCTTGAAACTTCCTGTCACGGGTGAGCTTCTCCAAAAGTTGATATTTGAATCGTTATATTGGTGCTACATACATCTTGTTTCATTCTCTACGCCATGCTTCATGCATTACATTAGCTACATCCATTGCATCAAGGAGCTGTACCTGATCATCAAGGGACCCCGCTAAGATCAGATAATTCGATTGTGACCGAAGTACATTGCACTGAAAAAGCGAATCAGTCCAATACCTCCTTACATCCCAGCTCTGACTATATATAACAGCATTGAAATCACGTCTACTTGACGATAGCGACCTCTGGGAGGCATTTATTTGCGAAAGAAAGCACTGTGCTCTCATGATCATCATCTAAATGCTTGCCTGACGGCGGATAATAGATATGTACCATGTACTCACAGTTTGACGTCCACAATGGAAATTTCTGACGTTCTACAGTATCCACGCGATGACTTTTCAGGATCGAAAAATCAAAAATTGTAGAATGATGCTTGCCAGACAATGAGCCGTACCAAGGTGGATTTCCGCAGCCATCTGTCGGCCCAGCAAAACTTTATCTAGGAATGAAATGATGTTGTTAAACCCAACTGCATGTTGGAAAATGCTCTTTTGTATATTTAGGTGGAAGTAGATGCATGTAGTTGTGGTACAAGTTCACGGATGCGGTAATCAATCCGTAATCAAAGGCGACGTCACACTAGTGCGTCCCTCTACTACTGACCACCACCAGCGCCTCTGGTCATGGTGTGTTGACATCTTTCATATTATTCTATACGCACTTTGGACATTCCAGGGCAGGGAATCTAGTTGGTACAAAGCTTTCGTCACGACCGCTGCAGTCATCGTATCGGGGGATAGTGGCATGGACTGCACGAATTGTGAACGAAAGCAAAGACAATTCTTCTGCGATAACTGCCTTGGAACATAGTAAGTGCATGTGAATTTGCTCCATTGACTGTACTGAACAGCTCAACATTCAGTATACGCGACTTTCGCAACCAGATCCAACATTTCACCTCGGATCGTCAAGAACAGGTCCTCAAGGCTTCAAAAGCTTTAGAAACAATCCATCCGGCACGTACACGACGGGCAACATTATCTGATTATCAGACGCGAGTAGACGAGCTCTTGGCGGGTCTTAGCCGCCTCAGGAAGGAGAACGACAAGAGTATGTCCAGCATCTGAGTCACATTGTCCCAGCTAAGCCACATTAGAACGGGACCGATTACGTGCTTTAAGGGAAGATTTGGCTGCTCGTCGACGTACGCTTTCGGCTGCAAATCTATTGCTTCATCCGACGTCAGTAAACCCTGCGGCACAGCGCCTAACTCATGAGCTCAACCTGCTTTCGACTACACTTTCT